TCAACCAAAACTAATGCCGCATGAAGTTGAAAGCTAATGAGATACGACATTGTTTCATAAAACAACGGAGTTGGACTAAAAGCTCAGCGACGCATAAAACACAACAATGTAGTTGGCGCAGTATTAGAAGACAACATTGTTTTGTGACAAACAGTTAGCTTAACGGTGATCCCGGTGGCAACAATGTTTAGTCGAGAAACGTTACCATTTTTTTCTCCTTAGTTTTGTTGAACCGCTCTATCAAAGAAATCCTTTGCAGAGTCGTAGTAGATCGTACTCGTAGTCGCGGAGCTCTCCAGAGGAACCTCCATAGGAGTAGGGGTAAAGTAACATAGAAATCCTTGTTCGGTTCCTTGTTATTCGTCGAACACCCTTGTTAGAACCTTTTTTGAAGAGGTGTGGATCGAGTAACGGTCGATTGATATTTTATTTGTGTTCTTGTTTTTTTTTAGAATAGAGCGCATTAAACACGCGAGTTTCCACAGCGAAACAAATTGGCACAAGTGTATTCACGATGCCTCCGCGACGAAGGAATCAGGAAGGGATGTTCCGCCCGGATTTGTGGAGGAACAGGTGACCAACATTGAGGATGGCCAAACAACAGAGATCAGTGCTGAAAAAATCGGCGGGTCTGATACTCTGTCGTCCATAGCTGGGTCGACTGATTTGTCTATCCGCATTTCATGGAGAAGAATCGTAACATGTTTGCTATTTTGAAAAACGAGTTTGCTACTCTCAAAAACGAGTTTGCAAGCTTCAAATGCGAGGTAAATTGTCATTTTGATTCTTTAACTCCACGACATGATTCTCTGGAATCTCGTGTTAATAGGCGTTTAGGTAAACTCTTTGAAGTTGTGACTAAAAACAGACATGATTTTAATGTTTTTGTGGATAAGAATCTACGTGATATGAATGAAATTAGTGAGCTTTTTGGTAGACAGTGACGCAAACTAGGGATTTGCCGATAAACGGTGAAAATAATTTAATCAACAAAACTGGTTTTCCAAACAATGTTACTCGAATTAGTCCGCCGATACAGGGAAATCAGCCAAACCCGGTGGTGAACCCAACGACGCAGTCACGAGTGAATCTCGGCGAGACTAGCACAGACGCGAACAATCATGTCGAGCAACCGTCGGTGCACGGCATGGCTCCATAAAGTATCCCAGAAGCTAGACCCCACGTGGCTCGGATGACTGGTGTTGTTGGTGGAGGAACGGCCAACCACGATCATGTTCCGCCATGTGGGTACCCGCAGACTATGCCTCCTTCTCCTCCTCCAAACATGCATGGTGTGGATCCTGGTGGTTTCGTACTGCATGGGGGGCATGACGTGAATGTCATCCGTGATCAGGTAGCACAGATGTTGGCGGATCAGTTTGGTTTAGTGATTAGACCAACGATGCCGCCGGTGTACCGAAAACCATATCCGGACTGGATTGAATGGTATCACCCATTTCCACGTGATTTTTGTGTGCCTGATTTCATCACTTTCAACCAAATTGGAGATCAGTCAACCTTCAAACACGTTGGATGCACTACAACAAATCCGGCTTATTATGACGAGGAAATTTTTTCGTATTAGATACCCATTTTGTCATATTATACATAATATGAAAAATGTGTTGTCACAAAGGTTTGTCATTTTATTGCCGTCGAGATAGGTCAAATGTGACAAACATTTAAAACAAGGTTGTGACATTTTCATTTAGTATAACTGAGATTCTGGGTAGTCTATTGTGACAAACAGAGATGTTATGATGACATATTTTGTAATTATGGTTGTCATAATATGGTGATTTGGAAGGATTGTTCGTCATATTACACGATTATATTTTGTCATAACTGTATATTGCAACGACTACATTTTGTCACAAGTGTTTATTGTGACGACATTATTTTGTCATAATTGAATATCATGACGAATATATTTTCTCATATATGCATACTGTGACGAGTATAGGTTGTCTGGAACGGTTGTTTATTTGTCTCATGTCTAATATGAAAAGTAAACAATTTGTCAAGTAATGTACATAATCTGACGACATGACATTGTTGCCACATGTTATCTGCTTCAAAATTTTCATAATTTAAAATTGTTTCCTGCATCACAACCTGATAATGGAAAGATTATCAAAGATCCAAAACATTACAATCATTTCCATAGCAGTCTAACTCCTTGTTCAACATAACCAAATATTCTAAGTTGTCCACCATGACACAAAACATTCTAACTCTTTTGTGAATCTTGAGTTCTCCTTCGGGCAATACTTCACATTTTTCTTTAGTCTGAACAATCACACAGCTTGATACATGCTTCCCCTCTGCCTTTGCTTCTATCCAAATGGAATACATCTCAAACTAGACATTGAACAACAAATGTTAATAATATAGGTCATATGGTTTGCTATAAACTAATCATAATGAAACAAGGCAATTCATGAAAATGAACTCACATATATAGTTTTGCCTCTGTCCGTCATAACCAAACAGCTAAAATCTATCATAGGTTGAGACAACCATATTCACACACAATTCGACCAAATGTGTTCCTTGTCACAAATTGCTAAATTGGCTCTCCATACATTTATCTCAAGCACCTATAAGCAATTGCTTTAACATCAATTCCTGCACAATCAGTCGTAAGAACACCATAAACCCATTTTCCTGAAGACCCAAAGCTTTCAAATGATGCTTGTTTTGAAGCTCACGCATCCGGCCACTGACGGCAAACAAAGCTTTTGACGGCACGCAACCTCTGTTTACACAAGTTCCTCGAACGACATCCTCTTCAACAATATCAATTTTCAAACTTTGCCCAAAAAAGTCAGGATAGAATGCTTTCAACCGCTAATCACAAAATTCAAATGGTCCAATTCGACCACTTCACGAGAACTTCAAGCCTAAACCAATCAACTCTACTTGAAACCCTTCCAAGTTCTCAATTTGCTCAAACTAGCAGCAATGTCGATAAAATCATACCAAGCAAACCCACCACCGTACCGTCTTAACGGCTTATTGCTGCTAGTTGGATTATACTACAGTCTTGGAAACAAAACATTGCCAGGAAAATTAAAGGGGTTGGAAGTGTGATTGCTTACTTGCAGCTCACAATGGCGGAGCTTCTGGTTAGACTACTGAGTACGGACTTGGGCTCTTGGAAAAATTCAACTCCACAGCCTGACAGGGCAAGACTTTAGTTGAAACCAAGCAAACTTTTCTGTTGGGATTGAAGCAATCTCAAGAACCAATCAATCGCAAAGAGGTAGAAACCAGAAACTAGGAAGGATTGTGCAGGCGGAAGAGAAGCCGGCATGGAACACATAGAAAAATAAAGACAATGTAGAGATGGTGCGTGTAGAAAGATAGCTCCAACATCTTCCTCATCATTAGCCTATCAACATCCGCCTTGGTATCATACCAATCAATCTATGCGAAACCGGCATCGAATTCCAGTTGGAGAACATTTCGCCAACGGTGCCTCCACTGCATTGACAAAGTCTCTCTACTCCGCCAGGGTGGGGTCACGGTTCCGCTTCATCCTGTAATGAGAAATCAAAGTCTATCAGCTAATTGAAAAATGGCCGAATCAGTTACGTGAGAACCACAATGCCGCAACTTATTGCTTATTCAGATTGGAATGGCCGAATTGGAAATGTTGTTGGAGATGGGCAATAACGAAAACTTGTGGGGTGTTCGGGAGAGGCAAATGAAGGCGACAACTTGCATAAATTTCAGCTGTCACAGTTGTAGATCTCATCTGTAGCTGCAGGGTTCCGGATTCGCACCGCGACAGTCCTGAACTCCGAAAGATCAGGAACCCACGGGCCACGGGTCGGAGAACACATCAATGGAATCCCCGGTACCAACTTCGTTACATAAACCTTGTAAGAGTAAATCACGACCATAAAGTAAAGATTGCCAAGACCAAGAAGAATTCGTTCCCATAGAGGAGGTAAGAAAGTTTGAATAAGGGAAATACCGCCCTTTCAAAATTGTGGCCACCAGGGAAGTAGGATTATGTAAAATACGCCAACATTGTTTAGCCAGTAATGCTTGATTAAAAGCTGCAAAGTCGCGGAAACCCAATCCTCCATGTGCCTTAGACATACACAGATGTCGCCAAGAAACCCATGGTAGATGGCGTTCATCCTCTCGTTATTATGAGGGGATATGATTGAAATAGATTATTATGAGGTGTCATTATTTGATTTTTGTTATTCTTCGTTGATTATCATCTTTTACGTCATAGAAAAATGCTACTGTATAATTTATCTTCCTTATTTTCATATGGTATGACAAGAAATTGTGCATAGGATAATACTATATTACCAAATTAAGAAATTCTTACTGAATCTTTTGATAATGCAAGATCATGATATATATATATATATGGCGTATGCTATACACCTACGTTCACACTTATAAATTAATTTTTGGTAATTAAATTAATATTAGTAAAATTATTATTACAAATACAATCATTAATAAATTATTGCATACACTTATGTCCAATAAATTTTATCGTTTGTTACATTTATATCATAATCAGCTATGTATACATTAATATATTCATCAAATTTGATTTCCATTCTTGTTCAACATAATCATAGAAGCTAGAAACTTACATGAACTATTTCTGAAATGACACCATATTGTTCCAAATTTAGACCGCAAGAGCAACCCGTAGCCCCTTTCCTACTCCACAAATCATAGCCTACAAATTTTCCTATCAAAGTTTCTATGCCCATGTATATATGACCACTTTCCTACTCCACAAATCATAGCCTACAAATTTTCTTATCATAAGTTTCTATGCCCATGTATATATGACCATGGATTGCAAGATCGAAGGGGCCGAATAGAATAACAACACCCTTAGTGTTGTTATAGTAACAACATCATTCATTAAGGGTATAAGGGTAAATTACCGAAAAACTAATAAACTAAAAATTAAATCAAATAGCGCGTGTTGTCTCCCTCCCCAACAACAATTGCTCCTAGATTTGTATTTCATCCTCTCCGGCAACTGTTTCTTTCTCTCCAGTGATAAAACCTCCTCCAGTAGCCCGTGCACCTCCTCTGTCGCCTGCCGGAGGTACCGAGCGAACCACGATAGCGAGGTCCAACCGGTCAGCCCGTCCAGCCCGTACAATAAGAAAGTGGTGACTGCAAACGCCATGGTCAGAGCAGTAGGGACGATGACAGGGCTGTAGATTAGGAAGACAGGTTACGCCACCGCCATTCCAATGAGTGTCCCGATGAGGGTTATTCCGGCAAGCGCAAGGAGGGTTCCTCTGACTGGGAGCCTGGTCATGATTGCTATAAATGTAGAAGTGGATGGACCAGTTTGTTGGTACATGCGGCCACCGCCCTTGAATCCGCCTTCGTAGCGGCCTGGGAACTGTGAGTGGACCTGGACTTGGTGCGGGTATGTACGGTCTATTGTTGATGAATAATTCTAGAGTTTGGCGAGGTTGTTTTGAGTGTAGAGAAAGAGGGGAGAGGGTAGTGTGGAAGGGAAGAGATGGAAATGGAGGGAGTCATATAAAATCAGGGGAGGAAAGTTAGAAAGCAAACCACAAATATTTTATAAGCACACTAGAAATCTCCTAATACAAACTACAAATGCGATAAAACAAACCACAAAAAGCATACCAGAAACCTCCTAAACCAGCCCACAAATGCTCTAAAACATACCAGAAACCTCACAAAGCAAACCATAGAATTTTAAAAAACACACCAGAAACCTCATAATGCAAACCACAAACACGATAAAGCAAACCACAAAAACAAACCAGAAACGTCCTAATGCAGATACAAAATCTATTAAAACAAACCAGAAACCTCACAAAGCAAACCACAAAATTTTTGAAAGCACACCGGAAACCTCGTAATGCAAACCAGAAACACGATAAAGCAAATCACAAAAACAAACCACAAACATCCTAATGCAGACAAAAAATCTATTAAAACAAACCATAAACCCTGCAAAGCAAACCAAATTTTTTTCAAAAGCACGCTAGAAAATTCTTAATGCAGACCAGAAACACAATAAAGCAAACCATAAAATGCATACAAAAAATATGAGAAACCAAACCATAAATCTCACAATGCACACCACAATATCCGGTGATCGTTGACCATTGACCGGTCAACAAAGTTCGTTGACCAAACTCCGACGACCATCAGTGAGTAGATTTCGGCGCCGATCGGCATATTCCGGCCCCGACGACTAGATTCTGACGCCAGTAAGCACAATCGGGCGACAAAAAGCATATTCTGGTGACCGACGACTTGATTCTGGCGACCGGACTAGATTCCGGTGACCAAAATTTTGGGTAGAAAATAAAAATTTTAAATTTTAAATTTTTTTTATTATTTAAACATATTTTTCATAATGACAATTATACCCCTGCTTTGATTTTATACTAGGTTCACTCAGATAATAAAAAGTCATCACAACCCTAGCTTCCTATAGGTTGGATACTAGTATTGTTACAATAACAACACAAGGGGTGTTGGATCACACTATCTAGTCCCAAGATCAAATTCTGCTATATGAGCCATTGAATTCTGACGACCGCATATAGTCACCCATCATTTTAAGTACCGATTTCATGTTATGCTATGTTCATAAATCAAGCATTTTCTTTACAATGGGGTATGTTATGCTCAAAACCAAGGAAGTGGATAAAAGTGGGGTTGAACTTCATGCCCAATTAACACCATACTGGAGTCGATTTTACAATTTCGCTCAAGGGGGAGTTGTATTTGAACCAAAACAAATCACATATGTTGGTATTGATGCCTCAAATTAATTCCAAGACTTGGAGTTATGGAAGATACTTGAGGTTACTTTGGGTTATGAAAGTTAATGATCACATGGAGTTAATTGTGTGGAGTTTCCATTTGGTTAATGGGAGTGTCGTTCACTTTTTCTTTGGCATCTCATAAGCCATTTTACATGGCTATAAATAGGGAGTCTATTGTTGTTGAATAGACACACCAATTTCTTCCAACTCATTTATTCTCCTAAAGTGTAGAATATCTTCTTGAGTACTTTCCTTTTATGTTGAGAGTTTTCTACTTACTCCATAACTTTGTACGTTGAAGATTATTCATTGATCATAGTGAAGATTACTCCATAACTCCTAAAGTGTAGATTATTTCTAGGATATTCTATGGAGTCAAAAGGCTATCATTTTTGGTGTATTGAATCTCACAAGGTTATTCAAATTAGAGATGTTACATTTAATAAAGATGCCTTATTTTCTGCCAAAGATGATACTTCTTCGTCCCATGATGCAGAAAATCTTGAGACTCCAAGAGACAAGGTGGAGTTCGAACAACAAGTTGATTCACCTACCCATCTATCTTCTCTAGAGTTAAATCCTAGTGAAGTTCAAAATGAGGAAATGCCACCTCAAGTGCCACAAGATTATATCTCGGCTCGAGATCAGCCAAGGAGAGTTATACAAAAACCTGATCGATATAGAGATGATGAGCTTGTTGCGTATGCTCTTGCCGTTGCACAAGAAATTTCAGAAGAAATTGAGCCTTCTTCTTTCGAAGAAGCTATATCTTGTGTAGATTCATCTAAATGGCTTGCCGCAATGAATGAAGAAAACGAACGTTTGTTGAAGAATAATACATGGGAATTATGTATCTTTCATAAGGGGAAGAAAGCACTTTCAAATAAGTGGATATACAAAAAGAAAGAAGGAATTCCCGGGATTGAAGAGGCAAGATGGAAGGCGCGGTTGGTTGTTCGCGGCTACAACCAACGTGAAGGTATTGATTTCAATGAAATCTTTTCTCCTCTTGTGCGTCACACTTCCATAAGAATTTTGCTCTCTTTTGTTGCTCTCTTTGATTTGGAGTTAGAGAAACTTGATGTGAAAACTGCTTTCCTTCATGGTGATCTCGAGGAGGAGATATAAATGAAGCAACCAGAAGGCTTTGTGATTCTAGGAAAGGAGCATATGGTTTGTCGCTTGAGAAAATCATAATATGGTCTCAAGCAAGCTCCTAGACAATTGTATAAGAGTTTTGATACTTTTATGATTGGAAATGGTTATACACGAAGTCAATTTGATAATTGTGTATATTTCCGAAAATTTCCCGAGCGCTCCTACATATATCTACGTCTTTTTTATGTTGATGACATGCTTATTGCTTCTAAGAACAAAATGTTGGTCGAAAGGTTAAAGTCACAACTAAAAGGAGAATTTGAGATGAAGGACCTTGGAGCAGCAAAGAGGATTTTAGGTATGGAGATCCAAAGAGATCGACAAGCTGGTAAATTATTTTTGAACCAAAGAAAGTACATTGATACGGTACTTGAAAGGTTCGGAATGATTGATTGTATATGCAACAACAAATGAAGAAGTGGATTATATGTCTAGCGTTCCATATTCGAGTGTAGTTGGCAGTTTGATGTATGCTATGGTCTGCACAAGATCCGATCTTGCATATGCAGTAAGTGTTCTCAGCAGGTATATGCAAAATCCAGGAAAAGAACATTGGAATGCTGTGAAGTGGATACTTCGGTATTTGAAGGGAACCCGTGATATGTGTCTATTGTTTGAGAGGAGTGAATATCCTTCCAACAATATTATAGGCTTCACATATTCTGATTTTGCAGGTGACTTAGATAAACGGAAGTCTCTTTCCGGATATGTTTTCACTCTCTACAATTCATGTGTTAGCTGGAAATCTTGCTTGCAACCCATAACTGCTTTGTCAACTACAAAAGCAGAGTATGTTGCTATTTCTGAGGGGGTTAAAGAGGCTATTTGGTTACGTGGCCTAATTATTGAGCTTGGTGTTGAACAAACTGTTTCAGCCGTATTTTTGGATAGTCAAAGTGTCATTCACTTGACTAAAAATGACATGTATCATGCGAAGACAAAACATATAGAAGTCAAGTACCACTTTGTTCGAGATGTTATGGTTGCATGTGATATTAGTGTGAAGAAAGTTCATACTGACAACAATCCTGCAGATATGCTCACTAAAGTTCTTCCTTCAACTAAGTTTGATCGTTGTTTAAACTTAGTTGGAATTCGAAGAGCTTGATTACCTCTCAAGGGTTTCTGGACAAGTCTTTCTAAATTTGATTCAAGCTGGAGATTGTTGGTATTGATGCCTCAAATTAATTCCAAGACTTGGAGTTATGGAAGACACTTGGGGTTATGAAAGTTAATGACCATATGGAGTTAATTGTGTGGAGTTTCCATTTGGTTAATGGGAGTGTCGTTCACTTTTTCTTTGGCATCTCATAAGCCATTTTACATGGCTATAAATAGGGAGTCTATTGTTGTTGAATAGACACACCAATTTCTTCCAACTCATTTATTCTCCTAAAGTGTAGATATCTTCTTGAGTACTTTTCTTTTATGTTGGGAGTTTTCTACTTGCTCAACTTTGTACGTTGAAGATTATTCCTTGATCATAGTGGATTTACTGGCTTGTCCAGCCCGTGGTTTTTCTCCCTCCTCTTTGGAGGGTTTTCCACGTAAAATTGGTGTCTTCCCTTGTTCATTCTCTTCTCTATTTTCTTGTTCGATTTCATATTGGGATTGCTTCCGCTAGTGCTCATTTATATCCAGGTTCAAAAGTCTATAAAAGACAACAACATCAACGGCATTTCATGGCTCGATCGATTCGGGAATATCTCTTCAACAAACAACAATCTACAAATTCTTTCTCTAAGGGAACTACTTCGTCGGCGCCCTCCCATCATCAACATGTGTGAAGCTCGAAAGTCAGTGGGATGTCCGGAAGCGGGCCTAGCTGGTTCGGGTGCAGCCGAGGAGGGAAATAAATTTTATGAACGTGGAAACACCAATGCGGCTCTGCAATCGGATTCTATGTCGGCGGCGGGGGTTGCTGCGGCCGAGAAGGAAGGGACGTAGCTTTCTTCATGTAGTCTATGTCTTGCTCCTAAAGTTTATGCACATTAGTATATCCCACTGGCTTGATTAATGAATCGAGCATTGCGGACGACTTGAACGCGCATGAGATTCGAATTGTAGAGATGAGAAACCATACATATTACAGAGGATTGGGGTCTAATTTGGGCAAGGGCGAGATGGCCACTTGACGATGGCGGGTCGTTCAGAATTGAGGGAGATAAGATAACAGAAGATATGTGCTTTTAGATTGCTTTATGTATGAAGAGAACTCGTGTTATGCCCGAGAAATAGCGCGCACTCGTATTCATCTCCACTTATTTTAGTGTAATGTATAATTGAAGAGTGCACAAAAGAATAGATCATATGCGATATGCGTGAGTATAAGTGAATCAGCATTATAATAATTATAGAATTTTGTGAAAAGTAGTTTGTGGTCTTGAATGATGAAATATCCCCACTATGCAACAAAAAGACTTTGTACATTTTGTAAGCTAGTGGTTGAGATTCATATATAGATCTCTCTCACTAACTAGAGT